AGAGTCTGTTTCCGTACGTCAGTAGAAAGAGCCTGAGTTTTAAGAAGTATTTCTAACATGTTTTCATAAACATATTTAATCAGAAGCATAGACAAAACATAACCTCTTAGTATGTCCTGGTTGTTACATATTAGCTGTTGACCTACAGTCATTATACTTTATTGAAGCTGTTAAAATGTTATTAAAGACTTTCCTTTAATTCTAGAACAGCTTCCGTTTCTGAGCTGCTTACTCATCTCTTACTAAGCACTGCAAGCTGCCCTCCCAGTAGCCTAGCCTCATACCACTAAGACTGTACTTGCATATCCCACTGCCAGAGACTCTGAAGCTGATTTTTCACTTCAGGGGCTTTGTAAGATCTCAGGAAGACTCACTCTGCAGTGACTGCTGTACACTTCCACTGCAGCCGACACATCTTCCCCACCCACCTGGAATGAGATCTGAGGAACAGAGAGAAGCCACCTGCAAACATCTGTGAGACCTCCTTTCTCCTTTTGAGTGCACTCTGCCACTTCTCAAGATATTCTAAGTGAAGCTGTAGAAGTCTGGGCTGTTGATCTAAGGCTGTCCACTTTACCATGAACCACAGTGATAAACATGACGCCATACAATTGATATAACGGCTGGCTGCTTTAGGAAAAAAAAAATTTTAAAAAATGGAGATGAGAATTTTCCCACATTCAAATGGCTTATAATATGAAACACCACTGGGAGTTAAATAGCTAACTCCTATTTTTAGTGATTTATGTATATTTGAATACTATGGTATTATGGCTTTAAGACTCCAATTTTCCAGTTTATTCTAAGTCAACACAGTGAAATGCGTTCAGATGCATAAAAAATTCACAAGGGAAGAAGACATACAAGATATTTCACCCTCAAAAAGGGATGATAAACTTCTGTTGGCTTTTATGATGCATAACTGGCCAGATCAAGCACTCCTTAACTGCTAGCAATATTAACAGCAACCTAGGTCTCATACTTCAGGCAGAAATCTCTGTGATTGATGTCACACAGGCACAACAACTGCTGCCTTCAAAATCATCATGTATTCAAGTTCCTAAATAGGTCAAGGTATTTCAAGTCCTCTAAAATCCAATCTCACTGCTATTCCAAAAAAAAAAAATAAGGCAAGCTTTGCATTTGTGTTATTTGATGTTGTCTCTGTTCCTTGTGGCTAATGGGACATTTCACAGCAAATAATAGTTGCTTGCCAAAATTATAAAAATCTTAAGGCAACGCAAACACAGGGCTTGAGGGCTTGGTTAATGCTTTCAAGGTTCTTTTTCTTTTACAATTTAGTTGTATAGTTTTACTTTTTAATTTTGATGCAGAATGCTGGAGGCATTTTCAGGACTGAGGGGAACTGAGTATCGTACTAGAGGTGGATGAACTTGAGACTGGAAATTCTGCAGTTCTAAACACAATGGCATGCAGTTGGGAAATAACTTTTGTTGTAACACAGAGCTTGTAAACTACATGATGAATATTAGTTGAGAAAAAGTGAGGCATTAAGAGAAGTGTTAACTTCAGAAGACATTGCTGGGCTTTTACCCAGAATTATGCCTTATATAATTGTGCTCATCCAGAAAGCATTACAGTCCAGAAGAGTGAAACAAATCGTTGTCTGAAGAAACAGAGAGACTATCGCATCAAAGGAGGTTGTAGAGATCATCTCAATTAGCATAGGACAGCGAAGCATCTCTGTAGTTCTCTCTTTGTTAACACATCAGGGAGGAGACTGTATCAGAAGAGTTATGAAGCTTTGCTGTCTTAAATAGCGAACTAGGCTTGATGACTGAAGTCATCCCTTTCAAACTTTTGTTCGTATGCCTGAACCAGATTCACTATGAAAAATGATCAAGTCTTTTATGCCATTGCATTAAAAAAATTGTCAGGATTTAGATAGATTTGGGGATGTCCTGGTTCCGTGTAAAAAGGGGTTCAGGGCAGGACCCACACGGAACAGAACTATGTACTCTCCTCTCCCCCCCCCTCGAGAGAGAGAGAGACACGTTAAAAAAAAAATGAAGTATATTGTTCAACAAGGAACAGAAAACGAAAAAGGGAGGTAAGGAAAATATTATATACAAAGATTAGGGGAATAATACAAAAGATAAAATATACAAAACCCTCAGAAATGGTTCCAGGGTCCCACGGAGTGAAAGGAGAACTTTCCTCTCTGAGCTCCAAGGCAGGAGGGAAATAAGAAACCACTCCCTGCCTCTTATCAGAGTGTGTGTGGGAAGGGGAGGGAATACAATGGTTTCACACCCACCCGGGGTCCTCCCAGTTGCTGGAAGGTCACGACCCCATTCCAAGCCTCAAACCACAACAGGGGAGTAGTGTCAAAATCAGCCATCCCTGCCCTAGGTCATCCTAGGTTATAGTGTAATAATAAGAATCACAATTGTATACAAAACCAAGTATTTTATTTAGAAAATTTAGAATTATGCACTTGTATAGTCATAAAAGTATCAGAGTCAGAAAACAAAGCCACTTCTGGTATGAATTTCTGTGTTAAAATAAAAAGAAAACAAATTATTTGATTACAAATAATTGTACTGCAGATTTGTGAAATTATCCTTGCAGAACAAATGCAGCTGGTGTGTAATGTTGTTATCTTCTTCTAATTTTCACTATATCCCTCTTATACAAAGACTCAAAGCCAAGTGGCTGTCATGCTTTGATGAGCAACATGCCAGCAGGCAGAAAGGACTGCAAAAACCCCACTGAGAGAGTCTGTCAGCTTTTCTTTGACCTATAAAGTTCTGTTTTGGTAGATGACAGAGACTTAATCTTTTATATAATTATTATACTGTAGATAAGCAACTGAATTTAGTTACAGTGATCCTTCAAGTCTCATATTTTACATTCAGCTAAGATTTCCTTCTTTGTCATTGTTTATCTATCCCAGATTTCTTTCACTATATGAAGTGTGGAACTTTTCTGAGTTTTAAGTAAGTTTAATGAGTTTTAGTCTGCAAAAGGAACACCTAATTTAAAAGAGGATACTAAGCTGGGTTTAAAGGCCTCCTAGTCTTTAAGCTTGACAAGTCTACTCTTAAAAGTACAACTTAGGTCAGTTAAAGCAAAGGTTTCTACAATTGCTCCCTTCGTATTCTTTTTGGTCTGAAATTCTGATGTTTTTGAGCAGTCCTTCTGATTTTAGGAGGTTTCACTTCAGAAAGACCCTAGTTTTGCAAACACATTGCTGTAAGCAATTGTCTGGTGAAAAAATAAATTACTGGAGTTTTAAAATACTCAATCTTCTGTATAGCAGTGCACTGTAAATAGAATTCCACATCTGTGGAACCCGGAATATTTTCTGAAGTGAAAAATGCTGACATAAAAATTCTAAAAATAGAAAGAACAGCCTGATCATAATGCTACACTGTGCTGAAAATACTCAATACATGAATGTGACTAACAAGTAGGAACCCAATTAAAACTGTAGCAATGTATCAGCAATTGTAAAATACAAATTTACATAGATCTAAAATACTTTCAGTTATCACACACCATAATGGTCATTCAGATAATCTAGCACTGCTGAGGTACTGGATAAAACGTTAAAAACTTTTTTTTCTTGTTTCGAAGTTATCCGTTCCATCATGTACATTAAGTGGTGGTGAAAACACGTAAAAGGAGTTCCAAGCTCAAGAGCAATCTCAACCCAGTCCTGGATGCACTTCAAGGGTGTTTCTTCATATCCTGCAAACATAGCTGGATTCGCTAAGAGTCCTCTAGCCACCATTATACCTTCAAATTGAAAATTAAAGCAGTAAGTTAAATTACAATTTAAATTTTACATTAAATCTTCCTGTAGATTTTGTATAGCACTCCTCAGGACAACCACCCAAAGCTTACAGACAAGTAATGGGAGAACAACAGGGATGAGTGTTACAGCTATGCCAAAGAGACCCATTTAACAATCCAAACCTACAACACCTGTCAACACACTCCATTTGATCTATCCTTCCAGAGATTTTGAAACAAAACACAACACAGGACACGGAAGCTTTTCTTCCCTATTTTGTAAGCTGCAATCCAATAGTACTTAATTTGTATTTGCTACACACAAACAAGCCTATCTTTTTAACATAAAATTATGGTGGAAAGACAAAAGCGTAGCAATATGCTAAATTCAGTAATTTTTCGTGCATCTGAGCCAATTCACTGACCTAGAGTCTCTTTTAGTAAGAGTTCAATGTCTTAATGACACAAATCTCAGGGCTCTTGGTCTGCAGTAACTATTTCTGAAAAAGCCAGCGTATTTGCAAATATCCCAAACTGTCAGATAAACCCATAGAAGTTCTCTATCACACTTAGTCTCTTCTTAAAAAACAGGATATTAAATATGACGGATTTCCTTGTCATTTGTATGTGACTTGAAAAATCTCCGATGCTTTCTAGTTTTGCTATTGAAGATCAGCTGCGCTCTGAGAACACTCTTTTATCTTATGTACTGTAGGGTTGGACTGTATGACCTTTAAAGGTCCCTTCCAACCCACATGAACTTTCCCTTATGACAATAGCTACTCCTCTCTGTCCTGTTCTTCTCCAGATGTAAGGTCCAAAGTGTGTAGATACAGTTCACCTCTTCAAAACATACACTGAATTTCCATATTGTGATGAAACCATAGACAGTTGCAGGAGTCTGTTGTGACTTAACTGCAGGGCAATCCTTTACCCCAACGTTTTATGACTGAAGTGGAAGACAAGGTAAACACACACAGATCTGAGAGTGCAATGCCTCACTGGGTCTCTGAAGCTAACTATCTTAACTGTTCAGTATCTGGCTTAACAATCCTTCCTTTTCCTGCCATACTCTTACTGTAAGAAATCTGTTCCCATGTTCAGGAAGCATCCAAGTGGACATTTACAGTTCATTAAAAGATTATCAGCTTCATAAAGAGACAGAATGAATGTCTGAAGGTTCCCCCGAACTCCATTACTAAGTGATGAGATGGCATAATTAAGCACAGAGCTTTTGTGATTTGCCTCGGAAATCATTATTTGTGGCTTTGAATAGCAGTGCTCTAGTGCTCTGATGATTACTAGTGATTGTGTTTATGAGTTTATATGGCACCTGAAACATCCTCTTTCATTTGTCTCCTCAAAGAGTGAAAAGCACTCAAATCATGTTCTACTTACAGCTGAAATACTTCGAAATCTGTTTTGTAAGTTTACTTAGAAAATAGAGTATATTTAATCTTACCATCTGCTCCTGTCAAGTGATGAACATTTTCAGCATCTTTTAAAGTTTTAATGTCTCCATTAGCCACAACAGGTATAGACATGCTCTGTTTAATTATTTTAATTGCATCATAATGTACAGGCTGATGTCTTTCTTCTACACTTCTGCCATGTACTGTAATCCATGAAACTCCAGTTGCTTCAGCTTTTTGACACAGGTCAACTGTTCTTTTTAAGTCTTCAAGGATTCTAAAATTCCAGGGAATTAAAACATTACATAGTAAGTCAGATGAACTGCATAAAAACCCCTCCTCCATCAGGAGGAGTTAAAACAGGTTTGTATAAAAAACATTACAAATAAAGAAAATATTTCTGTTGGAAGATAAAGAGAGTTTTCAATAAAGACATGAGTTCAATGTATGGAAACCACTAATTTAGCATTTCCCAATTACATCACATGTCTGAAATATACCTGGTAAACTCTACAGAGATCGAGCAAGGCTGCCCAAAAGACTGTAAATAAAACACAATTATTTTGCATATTTTGTGGAAAAAAAGTCTGGTTTATTATAGTTCCCCCTGCCTGAAGGATTGCAACTGAACTGACAAGTACACAAAAGCTACACAGATGTGTGTATAAATAGTGGATGAAATGGTACAAAGCAATGCAAAGCAACAGTTCACGGAAGTTCAGGAAGTGATGAAAGGAAGCAGGATGTATTCCCTACAGCTGCTGAGGGGACGAGTTCCCAGTTTTGTTACCCTTCCCTTTATAGCCAACAGAACTGCAGCTCTGGCCTCTGACAGCTCACAAAATCCTTGTGATGACACAGACTATGCACTGCTTTTCTTTAATGGAAATGTAAACCTTTTAACTTGTGCTTTCATGTCATTTGGATTGTAAAACTCCAGCATCCAGTATGTCAAGTGCTGTGCTGGTTCTACTGTGTGAGTTTGGGATTACTTGCCCCACATATCCTTTCATCATCTGATCAAAAAATCAGTCTTCACATGTAAGGAAATTATTATAATGTGTAATATTACATTAACAGACTGACATATATTATAGTGTAGCTATTACACTAACACATTTCTTAAAAAAAAAAAATTAAAAAGGATTCTTCCATGTACCATGAACATCACTGAAGTTAGACCTACCTTATTTTAATAGATACTGAAAATCTGGGGTTGTCGATCTGATTCCGTACATGTCTCACCATATCTTGAACTAGTTCCGGTTTATTTATTAAGCAAGCACCATAACCTTCTGCCATCGCCCATCTTTAAAAGAAAAAAGAACATGTGTATCCTACATTTGAAAAAATGCAGATCAATTTCAGTCAAACACATCAGTTCCTTTCTCTATGACCTTTAGAATGTGTGGTTGAGCACACAGAGATAGTACTGGCTGTAGATGGATGATTCGTTTGCAGTTTGATGCTAGTTTTAGATCCTGGTTCAGTCTCCATTGTGCTGTTAGAACTCTGGACAAGCTACTGAGCTCTTCCAGTTCAATCTCCTGTCCACAAAATGGACTCACAAGGAAAATAAATTAACATTTAATCACAGTGGTTTACATCATATATAAATAGTTTGATGTTTTCCCTTTCATTGGGTCATGGATTTCTTGTAAACAGAAAATTACTTTGAACTGAAAAGGAAGATTTTTGAAGTGAAAGTAAGGATATGATTTCAGTAATATTCTGTATTCTCTCAACTGGAGAACACTATTTTGATTGGCAGGACATAACCTTTGCTTCTACCTACAGCTGCAGTTCTTCTCTTAAACAATTTTACTTATAAATGCAGATCAAGTGCACAAAGTTTTGTTACTTTGAAACCAACATGCACAGGAAATGAAGGATTTAACAGTAAGCATACATTTTTGGCCTAGAAGGAACTTAGTTTTGCATACTTAACTGTAGCTAGCTTAGAAAATATATACATTTCCATTCTGAAGTCTCAGATTTCTCCTGAAAAGAGTTCTCAAATACTGTAATTTTAAGTCAAGACAACCTAGTTAGAATAGACAAATTAAGTATTTGCACCATAGTGTTATCTTTCACTTTCCTACATTTATTTTTGAGATCTTCACTTAGAAGAAGGTTGCCTGACAAGCATGTAAGAAATGGTTCTCAATTGAACCAGTTAGCAAGAATCTTCATTTGTGCATTAGTACTCTGTTTCACTGTCAAGACAAAATCTTCATCAGTTTAAATGAGAAGTAGTTCACTAATTCACTGTACTTATAAACCTAATGAAAGATGGAAGAAATTATTTCAGCACCTCTTGAATAATAGTCTGTAGACATCAGAGACTTGGCTTGTTATTCAGGGAATTGCCACATCATTTCTCAAAACATTCTAAAAATTATCTGCAGCAAGCTCTTCTTGGTAATGCATATTTAACAGCTGTTGAGAAGGGATGGACATTTCACTTCTGAGCCAACACTCAGTATCTCAGAAATTAAAAAAGGCAAGTTGGCAAATACACCTGGTGTTCCCTGTCTCACCATGGTGCCAGGAATCTCAGAACATTCAGAACAGTGTCTTGCCACCTAGACATTTCTGACAGGTTAAAAAATTGTTTCCCTCTCAAAGTCTTTTTAAGTTAAGGCAGAAATTACTATGAAGACCAGCATTCTTTATTCTCCAATTACTTCATTATTTCACCAGCTTTTTCAAAACTTTACCTCTGAGGACAGCCACAGTTTAGGTCTATTCCATCTGCAAAAGGACAGACGATACGGGCAGCATCACACAAAACCTGTGCTTCTTTAGCAGCAAACTGAACAACCAATGGATGATCACCTACTCCAATGAAAAGATATTTAGAGATTAAAAAACCCCCAAACCTAGAAAATAAACAGAATAAATTCTAAATTTTGCATGTTTTTTGTATATTGAAAAGCTGACTGGGTCTCATCCCAGGCAACCAGCTCTGGGGGTCACTGCTTAAGCAGGGGGGCTGGAGAACAACCTACAGGGGTCCTTCCAAGCTCCACTATTTTGTGATGCTGCAAGCCCTAGGTCACAAATCAAGGTAGCTGACCAGTGGTTACTAAATGCTTACGCCTATCAAGAGAGGTGAGAATTCAGTTATGTGTGTGTCCTACATGGTTGCTGGCTCAACATACATTTTTTTCTGACTGAAACTGGGCAAATTCTTACCCTTTCACGAAGATGATAACTGAAACTAAATGTTCTCTTTTCAGCAGCCTTCACGCTTCCCCTCCTAGCTTGCCCCTTCTTGTCTGCGTTCTGCCCTTCTGCTGTGCTGACATGGCTATTTCTGGGAGAAACTTCCTTCCAGAGCCTTCAGAAAGGAGCTAAACAACCCACAAGATTTGTCCTTCCTTATCTGAGCCCATCTTCTTCCTCTTCTGTGCCAACATGGCTAGTTTTTATCAAGTGTGCATTTTTAAAAATGCAGTGTTGGAATGAGAACACATGGGCAGAGTCAGCTTTTGCAGCTTTGTCAAGCAGGAAACCAAAGACTCAGTGCTCCTCAACCTGGGTCTGCTGAACTACTTGTGATTTACTAAGCCCCTGCAGAGAGCCAGATGGCCATTTGAAACATGCTGTCCTCTTTTACAGCTACTGCAGTCCATTAAAGGCATATAAAAATATCTCTGTCTTAACACTTGCTTTCCATATAAACAATTGCTGCAGCTAAGAGTAACGGATTTGTCTGAGCACTGATGGAAAGAGATGATCCAACAAATGCGCAAAGCAAGTGGGCTTCTGGTACTGAAAAGACCATAAGTACTTCTGAAGACTTTTTCTATTTTAGTAGAAATTAAGTAGTTCTCCAAGCAGTGGAACTCAGGTCTGAGAGGGCAACAGTACCCTCTCAATCAAATTGAGACACTTCCAGAAGTCACCTAAAAATCTAGCAAGCAAAAAAAAAAACCCCTGCATACTTTCAAAACAGTGTCCATTTAGTACAGTGCTCTAGCTGAAGAGTTATACATTACTGCACCCAATACTTTGGAATAATCCTACGCTCCTAATTTTGGGATGAGCATTAAGTAATAAAAACACTCCTAATTTTGGGATGAGCATTAAGTAATAAAAACACTAAGTCTAGCAATATTAATTTAGTTTAACAGCAGCCACAAAGAATATCTACCCCTATTTTAGAAATACACAACAAAGAAATGTCAGTGCCAAAGAAAATGGAAAACAGAAGTTGCAATTGTAGGCTCCAAACCTACTCAGCTAATTAGAAGACAAAATCCTGAAACAGCCAGCAAGTTAAACGTAAAACCACAGTAGAATTTCACAACCTATTGTGGAGCTACTTGTTAAAAACACAGATGCTAATAATGCGAATACTATAAACTTGGCAAAGCTGTCTGCAGCAGGATGTTTTACAGGCCTACAAAAATAAGGCCAGCATGAAAGAGGTGAATAGGGAAAAGATCTCATTTTTTACCTTGTGTTATCAGGCAGCAGTTACAGCATAAAGGAGAATTCCTTTCTTCATCCCTGCACCACCCAGAATACACTATGTATCTGACCTGTGGAACTTTAGTGCCATAGGACATTGTGTAGACCAGAGAGTTTAAATTCCAAGGGAATTAACTAATGGCTCTGCGGACCTTTGAGCCACATATATTGTCATTTATGTTCTTACTAATTTATTTTTAAACACAAAGAATTATTCATGCTGCTTAAAAGTTGAATTCCACTAGTAAGAGAATCTACCTGTGCTTCTCAAAGTAACTTTTCTCTGTAACTGCTTTGTTCTATTTGAGTAATACACTGCAGTAAACAGCCAGTGCTAAAATAATGAAGTGTACTTCCTCTGCTATTGCATACCCACTTATGAAAGCAATTCAGCAGTCACAATAGATTAAATCATCACACACGAAGTGTGTTCCTACATGCCAACTTCACTAGCACGTTAGCAGTGCTCTCTTTGTTCCTCCAGTTGCAGCTTATGCATCTATGTTCCTTGTGACACGCTTCTACTGCAGCCACTTCATGCCAGCAGTTCGGTATCATTACTGTCACTTCCCACATTTCATACCACTTTTCTCTTTTGCTTTACAGCCAGGGCTCTGCACAACTCCTTATACTCCTTTTTGTACGTGTTCTGGTTATGTTTCTGTACCATGCCTGAAGCCCTGCTTCTCCTCACCAACCCTAGCTATGCTTCAACCTCCTGGTCTGTTCTTGCCTTCTTGCTCCTTTTAAGCACCCTCTCAGTATCTCAAGGAGTCCACCAAGAGATGCTTCTCCTTTTCACTCCAGCTAATTTGAAACCCTGGCTATTTATCAGTCCTTGATTCCACTGTATCAATGTCTGGCCTGTTAATATTTTTTGCCTTTAGCAACCCTCTTATTTTTGCTAGAGACCTGAAAACTTTTCCTGGCAACGCACTGAGTGTTTGAAACAAGAAACAGCAACTGCTGGGAAAAGAATCTTACTACCATCTCATACCAGATCTGGCTGGGATGGAGTTAATTCTAAAACCTATTTAAAGTTTATTTATAGCACCCTGTATGGTGCTGTGTTTTGGATTTTGTGACAAAACCAGGATTGATAACACACCAAAGTTTTGGATATTGCTGCACAGTACTTGCAGTGTCAAAACTTTCGCTTTTCCTCACTGCACCTCCCTTTACCCTCTGCACATAGCTTGGGCTGGGCGAGAAATTGATAGTGGCCACAGCCAGGACAGGTAACCCAAACTGGCCTGAGCAATATTCCATGCCATGTAACATCAAGCTCAGCAGTTACACTAGAGTGGTACGGGAAGAAGACAGTGGGTTGGGACATGGAAATTGTGTTTCAGGATGGTGGTTGCTTGGAGCCTGGCTGGGCATTGGTCTGCTGGTATGACGTGGGAAATGCCAGCCTTTGCATCCCTTTTTTCTCTCTTTCTTTCTTTCCTTCCTTCATTTATTAAGCTGGTTTTATCTTGACCCATGAGTTTTTCTTGCTTTTACTCTTCCCATTCTCTCTCTGTGCTGCTGAGTGAATGCTGTGAATCAGTGAGCAGCTGTGTGGGTGCACACCTACTGGCTAAACCCACCACACATCTACATCAGATTGGAGGCTCCAACGTCAGGTGGAGACAAGGTTGTCCACGATCTCATTTGACACACTCTCACCTAGAATTTTTCTGTGGTTTTAGAGTCAATTACATAGGCTACACTAAAACCATTAATGGATGACAAGTTGTGTGACAGACTTCACCTGGCCCACTTGGTTTATCATTGCATAAAACATTCTGACAAGGCAATGGTTTCTTAAAATAATACCTTTGTTTGTTGTGAATTCGCTGTCTCTAGCTTTTGCAGATCTCACAAAATCAGCTGCCACTATCATTGGTGTGTAACACAAATCACAACTGTATTTCCTAACCAAGGTTCTGAAGGCCAACCTGCAGACACACAAAAAAGGAGAGATACAGTAAAGAGATTTTTCTGATTAGCTGCTGTAAAATGCTGTTCTGACACGCAGTACTGTGGGGATGTTGAACTATAACCATAAGATAAAACATGTCCCACATCAATCTCAGTCTTAAATAATTAAAAGAGAAATGGGTACTGTTACTGGTTATGCAGTAACCAAACTTCCTCAGAGAAAATACACCTAAAATACAGCTGACATGACAGTTACTTACTTTGAATAGCGGACCATAGGGGCACATATTTTTACAACCTGCCCAGAATTAAACAAATCCATGGGATCTTTTAGTTGGCATTGTTTACTTTCTACGATGTCACCAATCATGTGTAATTAACAATCCTTTAAGCATCTGGAAGAAGAAACAGCATTTGTGTGTAAATAATTCAGCCGTTTCTCAGGGGCCACGCAGCAGAGCACCGGAGTTCAAAGCGGACTTCCTTCTCTGTAATGCATCCCGTAAGACGTCGCTCGCTCCCTTGCACAAGGTCAGGCAGGAGCCGTTT